ATATCATGAATGTTCAACAATTAATTGTAAAACACTTACATCAAATCTGAACCAGTCAGAAAATTCTTTCTTATGTCTTTTCTGAATATTATGCGCTGCATTCCTACCGGTTATTTCATTCTTAAGCTTCTCCAGATGTCGCCTATATAAACAATATATAAGTTTTTATTGATAAACTATATGTAAAATGAATACTTCGTATCTATATTACTGATTTTATTTGTTACCTTCAATAGTCTTCGAACATATCAAGGTTTTCCAACACATATGCATGAATTTGATCTAAGAAACATCTCGGATATTTTTCACGATTCCTCTCCTTATCAAGTACTAAAGATGTGGTTTTTTTTCTTATGCATGTAACATGAGGCAAACACAAAGCATTCGTTAGCTACATATCCTTCAGCTATCGATCCCTCGGGACGAGCTCGATTGCGAACATTGTGTTTCATGGAGCCTAAGTATCTTAAAATTATAAGAAGAGGTAATCATTAGCATGGTAATTTTAAAAATGCATATATATTTAATGAATGTAACAAAAACGTAAATTACCTTTCAATCGGATACATCCAATGATAAGTTACAGGACCGGCGATTCTAGCCTCTCTTGCAAGATGCTGAGTAAGATGGACCATAATTGTAAAAAATGAAGGAGGGAATATTACTTTCATATTGCATAGCGTAACTCGAACATCGGCTTCAAGCTTTTTAAATTCATCTACATCTATGATTTTAGAGCACAATTTTCTGAAGAATCCATAATACTCAATAATAATCTTCGACGCTTCTTTATCCATATTATTACGGACTGCAACTGGGAGTAGTTGATGGAGAAGAACGTGATAATCATGGGTCTTCAGACCTAAGAGTTTTCTCTCTTGCACCTGAACACTATTTGATATGTTAGCAGAGTAACCATCCGGCGACTTTACCAATTTGAGAATTTCACAAAATCGATGCATTTGCTCAGTTGACATTGTAACACGAGACGGATGCAACTTTAATTTTTTAAGACCAACATCTTGAGCTTGTAAATCATTCCGGATATTCAAAGCAGTCAGGTCTTGACGCGCCCGTAGGTCATCCTTCGACTTGTTTGCATCTTGTAGGAGAGTTGACACTATGTTATCACATATATTTTTCTCAATATGCAATACATCTAAATTGTGTCGGATTTTAAGATTTTGCCAATAAGGTAGCTGAAAGAATATACTAAATTTAGTCCATCCTCTAGGTAATTTTTCGGCTACGTTCTCAACTTGCATTTTTTGGACCTTCCGCTTTCGCTTCAACGACTTTTTTGACTTTAAGGAATCTCTTACTCCAATCGGGTTGAATTTAGAATATCGATTTTTTCCAAACCTAACTTTTGGAAAACCCTCAAGTAATTTTACGATCTCATTACCTGTCAGCTGACGCGGCTTCATTCTCTTCTCAATTGTGCCATCAAACATATTTGATTTGCTTCTGTACTTATGACTCAAGGGCAATCACCGACACTTAAACCAATAACAACTCTTCCGGCTATGTGGTAGTAGAAGAGCTTCAAATTCCGGACCACATACAGGACAAGCACACTTGCCCTTCGTAGAGTACCCGGACAGATTAGCATAAGCTGAAAAATCATTAATCGTCCACAATAGAATAGCACGTAATCTAAACAACTCTTTTAAATGAGCATCATATGCTAAAATACCCTCAGACCATAATTGTTTCAGCTCATCAATTAGAGGCTCTAAGTAGACATCAATATCATTACCTGGAGCGTGCTTACCAAGTATCAGTAATGAAAGTATCATAAACGGCTGTTTCATACAAAGCAATGGAGGTAAATTATATGACATTAATATAACTGGCCACGTAGACCAACCAGAGCTCAATACCCCAAATGGATTGAATCCATCGCTAGATAGACCCAGTCTTACATTTCTGCAATCTTCGGCAAAACGAGGATAAGTTTTATCTACATGCTTCCAAGCTAAAGCATCAACAGGATGTCTCACTTTGCCATCATCTACTCGATCTTCCTTGTGCCACCTCATGTTCTTTGCTGTGTCTTTGTTCATGTACAATCTTCGCAATCTAGGAGCCAATGGAAAATGTCGAAGCACCATGGCAGGAATTTTCTTCGACGTTACATCTGTCTCTGTTGCAATCTTTGTTGAAGAATTTGTGCGTTGCTTCCACCTAGAAACTCCACGTGTCGGACACTCTTGAAGGTCTTTATTGGCTTTGTGGTACAAAATACAATCATTCGGACATGTATCAATCTTATTATAATCAAGACCCAGAGCGGAGACAATCTTCTCAGCTTGATAAGTTGTTTGGGGTATGCAGAGCGGAGACAATCTTCTCAGCTTGATAAGTTGTTTGGGGTATGCTATTCTCTCCTCCAGGAATTACCGTCCGAATAAGTTGTTTGGGGTATGCTATTCTCTCCTCCAGGAATTACCGTCCGAAGCAAATCAATGAGCATTTCGAAATAATTATCTGACATGCCGCTAAGTGTCTTAATATGTAGGAGTTTCAGCATAAAAAAAAATTTTGAGTACTCAGTACATCCGTCATATAAGTCATTTTCACTATCTTCTAGTAGCTCCATTATTCGCTTTATTTCCGCAGAGGAATGCATATCATCAAAATTTTCGACACTTTCAACATCTCCTACCTCTTCAGGTTCAACTTCGATATCATCTTCACTTTTATCTCTGATATCATCATCGATATCATATTCTGTAGGTCGAGGAAAAATATCATTCAACATCGTTATTGTGTCATCTATCCGTTGGTCATCAGACGTACCAACACATACATTTGGATCCTCATCTTCAGTTATAACTTCCCCATGATAGTTCCAATATTTATAATTTTCATCAAAACCTAATTTTATTAGGTGGATCCGTATATCATTCCTATTCAGCAGCTTCGTATTCCTACACCTACAACAAGGACAATACATAGCACCACTTCTTAAATTTCTCGGATTCATTTCAGCATAATGCATGAAGGCGTCACATCTCTCCTTGTATCGCGTGTCATGAAATCTATAAAGCCGTGGGATATCTATCCATGATTTGTCAGGAATTATCCTCGTTTGTAAATTATATATAATTATTAACTATGATTAATCTCACAACTACTAGTACATCCATGACTCTTGTACATTCAACACACATCAAACATATGTTCACATATCATTTAACAATATGAATATTTATCTACATAAAATATATATAAACGTACGTAGAAACTAATTACATCAATCTAGCGGCTGTCATAGGAAAGCTTCTATCCATTAAGAATATAGTAGTGCTTACATCCAACTTCGTATACTTTTTATATTTTTATTTCTTGAAAATTTCGGCAGCACCTACCCGTTGTTCTCCCTGTACACTGTGTGGATGTTATTATGCGTATCAGCAATAGCCCGAAATGCATAACAACATACACTTACATGCTGCCAAAACTTTCAAGAATGAAAATATACAAAGTAAACAAAGTTGGATGTATGCACTACTATATTCCTAACCCGTCCGAGAAGGACAGATCCAATAATTACGAATTTCAGTACTAATATTTTTTCGTATAATATAAAATAAACGCTCATTTTCGGGAGAAAACTTCGTCTCCTGCCCAAATCTGAGTCGTATATCATATATTATAAGTCCAAAGAATTGGATGTAATTATTGGAAGGAAGTCTAGGGATAACGTTATTTTTTTATTCACCTAAATTGGATTATAACACATTATAAAAAATTATAATGTGTTATATATCACTCTATTTTTTTTAAATTTTTTATTTCACATATTTTCACATCACAAACTTAAATATTCACACCTACTTATAGCACGAATAAAACTTAATCGTGTTAGGGTTTATAAGTGTTTAAAACTCAATAATGATTAATAGTGTTGTTCAAATAAATTAACATGTAGTTGAGTTAGGGTTTTCAGAATTGAACTCGTTTATTTTTTTTATCATAATTAGGATTTTAAACCAAATTCAACAGTAAATAATAATAAAATTCAAATTTCTAAAGCTCAGTAGAAAAATCATACCTTTTAAGCAGATTCAACAACGGACACACCGGGGGGGGCCTGCAGGAGGGTGGGGTCGGGAAGGGGCGCCAAGGGGGGCTCGGGGGGGGAAGGGGGCTGCGCGAGAGGGGAGGGGGAAGGCGGGGGTCGGGAGGAGGGGGTCGGGAGGGCTGTCGAGGGGGAAGGGGGGAGGGGGCTGGCCGAGGGGGCGAGGGTGAAGGAGGGCTCGGAGGGGGAGGCTGCCGAGGGGGAGGGGGCTCGGGAGGGGAAGGGGGCTGCCGAGGGGAGGCGGGGATGGCTCGGGGAAGGGGGGGTCGGGAGGGGGGGTCGGGAGGGGGCTGGCGATGGGGGCGGTGGGGGAGGTCGGGAGGGATGGGGGCCAAACCCCCCACACGCCCCCGGCGCCGCGGAGGGAGGGGTCAGGAGGGGTAAGGGGGATGGCCTGGCGGCGGGAGCGGCCGAAGGAGGGGGGCAGTCGGAGGGGGGGGGGAGAGTAAGACGAGAGGAAATGAGAGAATGGGGGGCTGGCCGGCTGCAAAAATAAGTTGCCCTAGGCAACCTAGACGGAATTTCCGTCTAGGTTGACCGTGCAACCTAGACGGAAATTCCGTCTAGGTTGACTTTTCCGTCTCGTTTGACAAACTAGACAGAATTTTCCGTCTAGTTTGACCCAAACTAGACGGATCAACCTAGACGGAAAATTTCCGTCTAGTTTGATTCAACCTAGATGGAAATTTTTTCCATCCAGATTGTTCTATCTAAATTGGTCGTTTTTCTACTAGTGAGTCCCGTATGTTTTCAACTAGGCGTTTTTTAAAATCGACCACTTTTTGGCCTGTTGGTCAAAAAGAGGTCGATTTTGCTAAATATTTAGCAAAATGATCAATTTTGCTAAATATTTAGCAAAATCGGTCTATTTTGAAAATTTTCCCAATTATATATTGTAAGCATCAGGCTCAAGTCATGTCTGAAATTTATATACTAGCTTGTACATGCTCATTTCATTTGTCAACCCCTGGCTTCAAGCAACTCCAGTCATGGAGATCCAGTATCCTTCCCTTGCCTTAACCGCTGCGCTCCTCCTTTTACCACCCCTCCTCTTCATTCTGATCAAGGGAGTCGCAGGCTCAAAGCCTGAAGGGAGCAAAAAACTCCCACCAGGCCCATGGAAGCTCCCGTTAATTGGTAATATACACCAGTTATTAGGTGGGCTGCCTCATCGCGTCCTTCGAGATCTTGCCATCAAACATGATCGCGATCTTATGCTTCTTAGGCTTGGGGAGATCAACCAGGTCATCGTCTCTTCAGCTGAAGCCGCCGGAGAGATCATGAAGGCCCACGATCTAAACTTCTGCTCTCGTCCTCAACTCGTCGCGTCGACTGTCATGCTCTATAACAATACGGATATCGGTTTTTCTCCCTACGGAAGCTACTGGCGTCAGCTTAGAAAGATTTGCATTCTTGAACTCCTTAGCGCTCGCCGAGTCAAGGCTTCATTTGGGATAAGGGAAGAAGAGATTTCAAATATGGTTAAGAGCATCTCTGCAGCGAGTGCTGATCATTCAGCAGTTATTAACCTCAGCGAAAGGATTGCGTCGTTAACCGATGCCATCATCTCAAGGACGGCCCTAGGTTCAAAGACTAATCATGGGAAGAGGTTGATGCGCGTGTTGAAGAAACTCGAGAAACTGGCTTCTGGGTTTGACCTTGCAGACATGTATCCATCTTTGGGGTTTATGAGTGCATTAACTGGGATAAGTTCACAGTTGAAGAAGAGTCATGGGGAGGGCGATGAGATTCTCAATCAGATAATTGAGGAGCACTTGGCTAAGAGGAAAGCTAATGGTGCTGTCAAAGAAGCTGAGAAGTTGGAAGAGGATCTGATAGATGTTCTTTTGTCAATTCAAGAGAAGGGCGACCTTGAACTACCTCTCACAAAGACCAATATCAAAGCTGTGATCCTAGTGAGTATGCTTTACGTAATAGATAACTATTTGACAAAGTTTATTAGTCATCCATAAATTTCTAACTAAATTCATTAAGGATAACTTGTGGGAGCAAACTTACGCATGAATTTTCAACAATCTGAGACAAAAGGTCGAACTGTCGATTTAAGTTCATCATTCATCTTAATTAATTCCTGTTGGATATTTTTTTTATCAAACCTCACATGGACTGCTGCAGCTGCCCATGTTTTTTTTCTTTTTCAAAAGTGGTGGGCCCCGCCAAAGTAAAATTTGGACGTGGGGCCCACATGCATAGTAAAATATATTATTTTATTAATGCATAGTATTTTCCCAAACGTTATAAATAGACTCCAAATCCTTAAGAAAAATTCATTCCAAAAACAACAATCAATATATACAGATATATATGTTGTAGAATAGCTAGTTCTCGTAGGAACAGTGCCTAGACCGAGAAGGTCTTATAGATCGAGGAGATCTTTGTCTGGTAGATTGAGGAGATCTTTGTCTTATAGATCGAGGAGATCTTTACCTGATAGATCGAGTAGATCTTTGCCTTATAGATCAAGGAGATCTTGACAGTACTGGGTCGGTGCACACCAGAATACTGGGCTGCTGTTCTTGGAAGCAATTTGGCATTGGGATCCTTGCACCGGAGTAGGCCAAATAATGCTTTAAACACAGCGTTTTACAAACGCGCAACAGCTGAGTTGAAAATTTTTAAATTACTACACTTCGGTTTTCTTTTCAGTTTTTACTTTTATATATCTGTATTATTCCAGATTTAACCACAAGCGCCACCAATCTTAAAGCATTATTTTGATCTACCATGGATCCTGCGATGACTCTTGGAATGGATTGTCTTAAGTTAGAGAACTTTGACGGTTCCAACTTCAATGCATAGCGTCGGAAAGTAATCTTTGAGATACAACGCCTAAAAATATATTATAGGGGGGGTTATTGCTTGGGACAAATTAGGGCCAAGTGGAAAAATTATTCCAATGGAATAATTTTACCCCTTTGGGATATTTTGAGTGTCGTAAAGTGAGATAAAGTGGGATAATGGGATAATTTGAGCCTTTGATTTGACAATTCATGTGAGATAATTGATGATGTGGCACCTTATTAAAATATAATTTTATCTATTAATTACTTCTAAATTAACTTATCCAATTGGTTTAGTATATTATTTAGTATATTATTATAATATAAATATTATTGTACTTTATATTAAAATATAATATATTCTACTATACTTATAAATTACTATTATTAATTATTATATTATATTATATTAGCATGCTATACTATATATAATAATTAATATAATACAATATCAATATATTTAATATAATATTTAATAATATAATATTTAATATAATACATTATTTTATTTATATAACATAATAATTATAATAATATATATTAAAATAATAATTATAATAATATATATATTAAAAGGTATCATGTTATAGTTAATATATTATTAAAATATTAATGTATGTTATTATATAATATTATTAATATATGTTATTAATATATTAATATATGTTACTAAAATATTATATAATATTATAATAAATACATTATATTATAATTACTAATTAATATTATATAATAATCTATTACATAATATTAATAATATATGTTATTAAAATATTAATATATGTTATTATATAATATTATTAATATATGTTATTACAATATTATATAATATTATAATAAATACGTTATACTATAATTACTATTATATAATATTATTAATATATGTTATTAAATTATGTTATTAAAATATTAATATATGTTATATTTTATATATCATGTCATATATTTATAATATAATTGAAGTAATACAAAAATATTTTAAAATTATCCCAATTGCCTTCAAAATGGAACAACATTGTTCTAATATGGAGGATGGGGTAAACTATTACTATTGGGACAAAAAATTTGTATATGAGTGGGGTAATTTTATCCCAAGTGGTGTAATTATCTCACTAGTATTCCAAAAAACCAATAACACAAAAATGTATTATCCTTGTTCCATTATCCCAATGAATAACACTATGAAATAGAATCCCCAAAATTATCTCATTATCCCCCAAAATATCCCAACCAATAACCCCCGATATGTGGTTTCTGAGGAGAAACCTGACTCTGAAGAAGATTCTGAATCTGAAACCTCTTGGGCTAGAGATGATCACTTCTGCAGGAGTTTTCTTAACTTCCTGGCCGATCATTTGGCAGATGCTTATATCAACAAGCCTTCTGTAAAGGAAATTTGGAATGCTCTGGAGAACCAGTACAAGGATGAGGAGAAGCTGTCCAAATCTCACCTCATTTACAAGTTTCTGGACTTGAAGTTTGAAGTTGACATTGAGGTTTTGCCTCAAGTTAAAGAGCTTGAAAAGCTTGTTATGAAGTTGAAGGATAAAAAGATCAGTCTTTGTCAAACCTTCATCTCTGGTGCAATTATCAACAAGCTTCCTCCATCTTGAATATCATTCTTTACTGATATTCGAAGAAGGAAAAGACAGGTGACTTTGTCTTGTTTGAAGAGGTTCATTCGGGTCGAGGACGAGACTTGGACTCGCACGAAGACTAAGCTTCTTGCTAAGCAGAAGGTATCTGCTAACATGGTGGCTGCTAACTCTGAAAAGGGTAATAATTCATCTTTCAACATGAAGAAGAAGTTCTTTAACAAAAGGAAGAACCAGAATCCAAATAACCGGAACTTTCAGAAGAAGGAGTTCAATAAGAGCGGCAAATGGTTCAATTGTGGGAAACAAGAACATTTTGCCAAGGACTGCAAAGCACCAAAGAAATAAACTACACACAATATCAATCAAGTTGATGATTGTGTGGTTATGCTCCTTCAGGTAACAACCCAAATAACATCTCTGGTTGGTGGTTAGATACAGATGCTACTTGTCATGTCTGCTCCAACAGAGATCTATTCTCTTCTTATGTTGCTACCAAAGAGAATGTATCAATGGTTGATCGTTTTGTGGTTCCTGTTCTTAGAACTGGGGCTGTGGTGCTGACTCTCTCTTCAGGGAAGACTCTCACATTAAAGAATGTGAAACATGTTTCCTCAATTGCCAAAAACTTAGTCTCTGGAAGCCTGCTATGTGATGCAGGTATGAGGTTGGATTTCCAAGGAGGTAAGGCTGTATTATCCTTTAAGAAAATATATTTTGGCAATGCATATCGTACTGATGGCATGTATAAAATCAGTACTATTGCACCCAACTTGGTTATAAATAAAGTATCATATTCTGCTTACACCACTACATTATAGCATAATAGGCTAGGACATGTAAATTATAGAAAAGTGTCTAGCATGGAGAAATTAGGATTACTTCCAAAATATGGGGGTAACAAACCTGAGAAGTGTGAAGTTTGCGCTCAAGCAAAGCTGACGAGGAAGCCATTTTCAAGTGTCACGAGCAGCACCAACCTGTTGGATCTGATTCATTTAGATACTTGTGAGTTCAAGAGCTTCGTCACTCATGGCGGCAAGAAGTACTTTATCACATTCATCGACGATCATTCTCTCTTCTGCCACATTTACCTGTTAAAATCTAAAGATGAAGTCTTCAGTAAGTTTGTCGAGTTTCGGACTCGAGTGGAGAAGCAGCTTGGACTGCAGGTAAAAAACTCAGGAGCGACAGAGGAGGAGAGTACCGATCTAAGAAGTCGAAAGCATACTTCAAGGAGCATGGAATCATTGCTGAAACTACTGCTTCGTATTCTTCGCAAACTAATAGGATTGCAGAAAGAAAGAACCACACATTGACCGAGATGGTGAATTCGATGCTAATCACATCTGGTCTTCCTACCTGCTATTAGGGAGAGGCATTGCTGATGGCAAACTGGATTCTAAACAGAGTACCCTACTCCAAAACTGATAGTACTCCTTATCAGTTATGGTTGGGATATCCAGACTCTTTGGATAATCTCAAAGTATAAGGGTGTCTCGTATATGTTCGAATTCCAGATATCAGAAGACCTAAGCTCGGACCAAAGGCTAACAAATATATGTTTCTTGGCTTCACTAAAGATAGCAATGCTTACAGGTTCCTGGACCTTAGAACCAACTCCATCATTGAAGCTCGAGTTGCAGAATTCTTTGAGGATAAGTTTATCAATGATAAAGGCTTATTGCTCAAAGATATAGCAAAGAATGCTAGTACGTCAGATGCACCAGAGGAGACAGTTCGGAAAAAAACTAAAAATATCAATGATAAAGGAGTTACTGAACCATCTTCTAAGCGTATCAGGTAACAGAAAGATTTTGGAGATGACTTCATCACCTATAATGTGGAAGGAGACCCACAGACTTTTCAAAAAGCAATGTAGTCAACAGACGTTCTTCTGTGGAAAGAAGTTATAGATGATGAGATGGATTCATTGATCCAAAATCATACTTGGGATCTAGTGGATGTACCTGAAGGTGCAAGGCCTATTAGTTGCAAGTGTATCTTCAAGAAGAAGCTCCGTCCTGATGGTACTATTAAAAAGTACAAAGCAAGACTGGTAGCAAAATGATTCTCTCAGAAAGAAGGTATAGATTTCTTTGATATCTATACACCAGTTTGCAGGATCACTATCGTCAGAGTGTTTATCGCATGGGCGGCGATTAAAAGGTTTGTCATACATCAGATGGATGTGAAGACTGCCTTTCTCAATGGAGATCTTACAGAAGAGATCTACGTGGAGAAACCAGAAGGACTTGATACTCTAGCTGGTAAGGTTTGTAAACTTGTTAAGTCTTTATATGGACTTAAGCAGGCACCAAAACTCTAGCATGAGAAGTTCGATAGGGGTTGTTCACAACAATAGGTATCAAGTCAATGAATCTGACAAGTGCCTATACATCATGTCGCTGAAGAAAGGTGATGGTCATCTGCCTCTATGTGGATGATATGATCATCATTGGGAGTCTTATGTACGCGATGAGCTGCACAAGACCAGATATAGCATTCGCTGTAGGAATA